TATAAAATAGCTATAAACATCAATTGACTAATCATTCGAAAGTTATTTCGCCATAAACCAAGTCGATGTCGACGTTTCATTTGTGCTTTTTGAATAAGAACACGAATAACAAGTGTTACATTTCCAATAACAATTATACTTAATGGAAACATGAAAAATATTCCATTTTCTAAATGAGTAAAAACTGGTGAGTTTTTCAAATAACACAATGTTCCGCATTGAAAAGAAGAATATGTAAATGAATTTCGACATGAATAAGCAAAAATCAAAACTGAATACCAAATAGTTGTAAACAAAAAACATGTAGGTATAGGTATTCGATAGAGTAAACGTTTGTAACGACGATGAAAAATATGATGAAATACAAAAAGATATCTTTCAATAGAAGTAAATGCCATAATAAATAGATCAACATCAGTTAATATATTGTCATACCATGTCCAAATAAGACAAAATAATGGATTTGAAAAAGGAACTTGATTTTGAGAGAGATAATAGAGACGAAATGGTAGATCAGCCAAGATCTATATGAATGATTCATATTTAAATGAATTGTCAATCAGAAAAAGTTATGTTTCTCTTAGAGACTTAAGTAAAATATATCTATGAAAAAAACGATAACTTACATGAATGAAGTTGCCAATCAACAAGCAGATAATGAATAAATTAATTGATTTGCTTCGAAGATGCGATCGACAAATGAAATTGTAAAATAGAAAGATAAAACAGATGATTGATGGTATGACAAGAGTTGTTAGAAGTTGAAACATAGCTTCTGGACTTTCATCAATCGGATTCTTGTCAAAATGAGTTTCATTGTCTCTATCCGGTCGAAAATCAGTTTCATTTGATCGATTTCTATTCAGTGGCGAAGGACGCATTGTACCGTTGCTAGTTCGATTGAAATTTGAAACTAGAGACATGATATCTGGAAATATAATGAAGAGAATGAGTGTCTTAGATGTGTTATTTCTTAGAAAAGTAAAGGAGTGTTTATATAAGATGAAGAGCACTAAAACTTGTCTGGAAATGATAGTCGATTCTGATGAAGACATTTTGTTAATTTCGAATGTATTTTTTGCAGATCAAAACAGAGTTGCTTTTGTTTTGTATTGACGTCACACCATACTTTGACATTTCCTAATAAGTAATCAAAAGTAGTACTGAAGCTGAAGGTCATGAAAGAAAAACAGCCACTTATGTAATGAAATTCCACTTGAAACGATAATTCCATTGATTAGCGTTAATGTATCGAGTATGGCAAAAGTTTTGTAACAGTCTTTTCTTTGCTAATATTCAACTAAAGAAATGATAAATTGATTTGGTGTTTCATTTCATAACAGAAAATTTTATTCTTTATAAACTCAGATTAGACTTCATTTAAAATATAGAACAAACGGATTTACTATATTGCATTATGTGATATGTTCAGGAGTATGTGTATTCCATACAATTGCTTTTGTATTTCGACGATCGTTTTCAAGTTTTAAACAGACAGCTTAATGGTTTTTGTCTGCTGATAATGATATCAGTTTTCTATGGGTATACCGTCGTTTCTTCTATTCTCTTGTCTTTTCTTGAGATCGCAATTGAATTGTTGAGCAATGAGATTCGGTTCAGTTTAATCAAGTCGAAATCCGATCCTTACAATTCGTGTCGATAGATGACTCAATTTTTAATGTCAAACAAGAAGAAAAAAAATTCAATTGAGTATAAGCTTCAGATTTTTCATCTTGTGCACTCTTGCAAACGATGTCGATCGATTATCATCAAGATAATGTGATTCTACTGATACATATCAAATAACGGTGGTTTTCTATCACATATTCTCTTCAGCTACCAATAATAGAGGAGAAAAGATGAGCTAGCAGTGATTCTGATAAATGCTGTTTCCGCATATTCGACACAGTTGATTAATACTTATTTAATATGTCGATGTATGAAGTGTGCTATTGAATCTATATTATCTTAGCCGTCAACATGTGGATGCATTTGTCTGTCTTATTGTCTAACTGTTTTATTTTTCATGGTTCAATCACACAGTCAACATCAGATTCGTAGATACGTGCATTTACAAGTCTTTATACTTATCTAAATGTGCCTTCTTGCAAGTCGAGTTGGCAAGTAATCCTTACTCTGAAGTGTAGATCGGACTACTAGCATAGGAAAATAGATATGGTGTCTTCTTATACAAAGGCAAGACCTAATCCAGTCGTGATTAGATCTAATGAAAGATTTTAGTGATTGGTTTCGGATTAAAGCAGACGTTCGTTCTGATTGCGGTCGTTTTAGAATTTATATTGAAGTTTCTCTTTACAGTTTCAAGTATCTCGTTGAGTCAATGGTTTTTGTAAAAAAATAAGGTACATTCAAACCTTACTGCAATGCTGTACTAGAGAAAAATATTCTTTAATTCTGTAGACAAATGGATTTCTTTTCTTGATAGACATGTATTCGAGTCTAATTTCACTTAAGATGTTCTCATTAGTTTCAGACTTTGATTATCTCTTTAATGTTCTCTTTCCATTATTCTTTTTTTTGTGTTCATTTCTCTTCTATATAAACTTGTGTGGTATATAAAATAAAGACTTTTTGATGGAATGACATAGTTGAATAAACATCATTACAAAGGACAATATGAAAGCTACTCTTGTGTATTGTTACTTTATGTACTTGTAATTAGGCTTCACGTCGAATGTGCTCTTAGAATTTTTTATAATTGCCTGATAACAGTCTAAGTAGTTATATTTGGTTAACAGCAATCATCTATGCAAGCATCCACAAGAAAAGTAGTCTCTTTTTTTGACAGCATTCAAACATTTTCTCTAGTTGATTCATTGTATAGAGCTGCAATCGAGCTTAAAATAAGAAAACAAAGCTATTTGTTACAAAGTTTGGCAAGAATAAATTTGATCAGAAGAAAGATTATATTGGTAGAATCGATAAAGAAAATGTCATTTATCTCAGAATAGGACTTGTTGTCTAAATAAGAGAAACCGAGTGAAAAAGAAACATCATATTATTTATTATCGATTGCGTCATTCGAACGAATTCTAACAGTGGATTATGTCTTAATAACAAAACATTCTTTTACACAAATATAATACATTAGATTAATCAGAGCAATAATATCTTTGTAACGAGTTAAATAATAGATCGATTACGCTTGCAAATACCCTCCTCTACTGCATGTAATATTGGTCGGGAGTTCAAATAAAATATTGCATAATTTTACATAGACGTTTCAGACATATCACAAAACTATTTCTATGTCATCTGTTTTGATGAAACGTCTATCATTATTTTTTATGTTATCTTTACTAGAATTTCGAACGATCTTCCTGTTAGATTTATTCAACGCATGTGTAAAATGTCAAAGATAATTTTCAGACTTTGATGAAATATAACCAATGTTCTATCAACATATTAATTTTATTTGAACAATTGTTATATTTCGATGAGAATGTATTGCAGTTATTCAACTCATTTATAATATTTATTGAATGTTTTCTGAAGTTGGATGAGTCCTGTGTCTTGGGAGATCTATTATTTATTCAATAATAATAAAATAGTATTTAAATTACACAAATAAAATTTTTGATTGCTGAATATTTCGGTATATGATTATGAAAACAATATGATCTTTGCATATTTTGTTGTATCATAGATCATGCTTTGCGTCTCTAAGCATATATAGATAGCACGGTTTTTTCATGTTCAAAAAGAGAAATTATTAAATATAGAGTACAAATACACTGCACCGAACACCATAATTGGTAGATATATATAGAACGTTTTAATAGAAGACTTTTGACAACTAAAATATGGCGCATTGAAAAATCAAAGCAATGATAGGTAACATTAATTATTTAAAACAGTATTTGACAAGGAGAAAATCTTATTTCAAAAACAAACATTTCTTTTTGTGAACATCAAATTTATTATTAATAAATAATTGAGATTATAGAATTGACAGGTTAATTATAAACAGAAGTTTTCCGAATTGTAATCTTCTTGATCTATCAAACAACCTTAAAAGCAATTTCTTGTCAGATTAAAAATGATTCATTGAAATAGAAATTCTAAAATTAAGTAGATCCTATCTGAACAACTTGCTATATAGATACAAGTAAATCAAATCTTCTTGTTTTGTAGGACTTACATATATTTTCGAAGTAAACAGTAAGTGCGATTTTAAATCAAGGTTTATCCGTCTCCTGTCTACCCTAACTCCAGCAATTGAGAATGAGAGAAGGTAAGCCAAAGCTCTTGGGGTACGCTTTCCCAGCAACGGAAAAAGGCACGCCAGCAATAACAGCGCTTAGATCACTCTGAAACTTTCTAGAATCTTCCAAAACATTCCATGAATCTAAGATTTCTGCTGTAGATTCTAACTAGTTAAAACATTGCGAATTTTAATATTGAATGCAGCGAAAGGATCTGACTGTATATATGAATCTGCAGAGTGGGCTCAACAGTATAAATCAAAGTTTGTTGAGAAAAAGGATGATGTACTCGGCAAAAAGACTAGTTCTCGTACTATTCCATCTATGGATAATAATATTTAAAGTACTCGGTTTTCAACAAAGTTTCATTACACATTCTGTATAAGATAATAAGAGTAAAATAATAAATAAGACAGATCGGCAGATAGATTGATAATCGATACCGATCCCACCTTTGGTATTCAAATGTTTACTCAACGATTAAATCAATATATGTATATCAAGCTATTATAGTGGTTCAACTGGCGAAACGAAGAATAAAATGTTATTTGCCGCTTTCTATGACATGAATCGTATATGTTACTATTAGAAGAAAAGATATTAAGTATTGAAGATGTATCTGACAATACAAATAAGCTTTTCCGATTTAACGGGGTGAAAGAAATCTAATAAATTGATAGAATAGAGATCATCAAAATAAAAACATCTTCGAAATGATAAAGTTTCAAAGCGTGAGGATCAACTAGAAAAATTCTTATAATTGCGATTGATTCATTGATTTAGTTGATATGTTTTAAGTAAACTATTTTCACTCCTCTGACAATATACCATAAATTTATAACAGTCAGAGTTGATGAGTACCACACTGTGATCTCTCATCGTATCGCACTGCTAAGATATTCTTTTTAGAATAATTTATACACAGC